TATGCTCGGAGATAGGAAAGGGATCGTACGGCATATGCTACGCGGGACTGGACGTGAGCACCGGGCAAAAGATAGCCATCAAAGTGGACCCCAAGAAAACCAAGAGCTCATCCCTATTATACGAGATCAAGATCTACAGACAGTATCTCAAACGCATTGACGCGCACACTCCGCACATACCGGCCCTGTTCTGGGCGGGCACCGACCCGCGCATGGGTCACGTGATGGTCATGGAGCTCATGGGCCCCAATCTGGACAAGTTGTTCGAGTATTGTCACCGAAAGTTCACGCTTAAGACCATATTAATGATCGCCGTTCAGGTGGTCGACATCATGGAGTCGGTGCACCGACTGGGGCTCATACACCAAGACATAAAGCCGGAAAACTTTCTGATGGGCGGCGCCGGGAGTCGCGCCAAACGCATCCACATTATCGACTTCGGACTGGCCAAGCCGTTCATCGATCGCCGTACGGACAGGCATATCGAGTTCCAGGTGGGCGCCGGTATGACGGGAACGCCCCGGTATTGCTCGGTGAACGCCAATAGGGGGTACGAACAGAGCCGTAGGGACGACATGGAGGCCGTGGCCTATATGTTGGCCTACTTTCACTTGGGTTCCCTCCCGTGGCAGGGGCTCAGGCATAGGGCGGGTCCGGGATGTCGACGGGTGCACAAGAATCAGGTGATCCTAGCCGTCAAGGATTCCGTGTCCGTACGGGAGTTGTTTGAGGGGTTGGCGCCGGTGTTTGTCGACTACCTGTCCGCCAGCAAGCAGTTGGCGTTCACCGAGAAGCCCGACTATAGCCAATGGACGGATAGGTTCGGCCAATTGCTGGATGAGTTGGACTATAAGTACGATTGGGACGCCTTTTATGGTAGCGATGCCGGTGCCGACCAGTTCCTCACTCACGAAGTATTAGTTTGAGTTTTGTATTAAAAGCAAATTTTGTGGAAATTTGTGTTTATAGAGAATATTCTGTGAGTTATTTCGCTATTAATTGAAAGTTTATGACTGAAAGTGAATGTAAAGCCAGTGATAATCAGTCGCCGATAGGCGCTGAACGCCATTATCCTGTTGTCCACTGGTCTGATGGTTACAGTGGACAACAAGAGAAAGGTATTCAACACAAATCGATTAATACAGACATCCATGTTCTATGAGATAATAGTTGTCCATACGTTTTGAGTAGATTATCTCGTTTTAGACAAAAATGTTCGCATTTCTATTATTTAAATACAAGTCTGACACCAAATCCATTGAAATGAACGCAAAGAATATAATTATTTTTATAAGTTTACGTGAAATGAAATTTAGTGCCGCTTTTTGGTTAATAGTTTTTCAATTCTAATGTCGAAATATGGGAGCATTTATACAAAAACTATTTTTATTAGTTGAGCGTATCGTTGTGTATGGTTTTCATATATTATTTATGGGGTCTCTCTCTCTCTCTCTCTCTCCCTTTCCCATAATTTGATGAAAAATCATTCGCTTATAAAATAATTATTACTTTCACTTTTCCATTAAAAAGCACAATACGTACAGTGCTATGGTTTTGCGTAACTATTGAGTTGCTATTAACAAAAGTGCAGTCACAGAATGTGACACTTTTTTATAATCAGATTCTCTATTAGTATTTAGTTATAGTTGTGTGTGTGTGTGTGTGTATGTGTGCACTTCAAATGACAAAACAAATAGTGATAAATAATTTATGTTTATTTTTGTTGAAAATTAAGCAATATATACATGGGCACTGGTAATGAAAATTATTTATCAACCATACGGTATACTAGGCCTACCTGAGCGAATATCCACTGTAAACTCCCTCCAACCCTCACAAGTATTATAAATGTGATACTATTACTGTACAGTATATTAATTGAGTAAACATTATTTATAAATATTTTATTTATCAAGTAAGTTTATTTAATAGTGAACCTGATTTAGTATATGATATTAGAGTATCGCACACTGTAAGACCACTTTCCCACTAGTCTGGCCATACATACAGCAAAGGTATGCCTAATGCCTAATGAATGGCACAGTAGAGTCCAGTGCACCGGTAGACACAACTCTGTGAGGATACTATTACTGTACAGTATATTAATAGAGTAAATATTATTTATAAATATTTTATTTATCAAGTAAGTTTATTTAATAGTGAACCTGATTTAGTATATGATATTAGAGTATCGNAAGAAAATATATTCTCTAATAATAATTATAATAACAGTAATAAAAATCATAATTTATTACAATATCGACACAAAAGTATTACTTAATCCACAAAATGGTCTAAAAATTAATCAAACGCCAGAATATATGCTATGATTTTGATGCGATATCTAATGGATATTATATAATATTTTATACATTGAATGCCAACGAACTAAGGGCTGATTTTAGGCTCAAAACAAATATTTTACTTTAGATTTGATTTTTTATTGAAGACTTTAAGACACGCCAATTGAATAGAGATTTTTTCGCTCTCTCTCTCACTATATATGATATAGTAATGCATTATAAATGTATTAATTTTGGTTTCACTAATGTTTTTACCCCTAAAAAAGAAATATAAGTTTGCGTTTAATGTATTATATTATATAAGTTATGGGTTTTTATGTTCATTATCTATAATGTATTAGTGAATGAATAATACGATATGGAAAGGTATGCGAGATTTTCAATACTAGTATAACATTGGGCTGTTTATAACAAATAGCTTTATGTATTGAATTATGCTAAAAATCGTATTGTTAAAATCTTAGCTACTATTAATTAAGTATTGTTAAAATTTAAAATATATTTATTTAAGGAATTAGTGTGAAGTGTTTACTATACTTCAAATAAACAACTTTAACATCTGTGTTGTTTTTTAAATAGCCTCTTTGTCATTTTTGAGTTTTTTGTATACAATTATCAATTAATAAGTAATTGTCAAAAAAGTTAACGTAAAACAATGTGAGATATAATTAGTACAGTATAAACTGAACAAGTAAATAATATTAAAATAAATTAGTTATCTAAAGCTATTCTCTAATTATAAATTGTAGTTTATTATAATACAGTACTAAAAGTTTAATAAAAATGGCAATTAAGAATTTTAATTAAAAAGTAAAATTAGAAACATTTATTAAAAATCAAACAAAAATTTCTAATAAGATAGTTTTTAAGTTATAATAAATTAATACATACTAACTTTTAAATTAATAAAATTTCTAAGTACAATATTTAAAAAGAAATGTATTAATAATTAAAAATACTTACAACACATTTAGTAATAAAACCAATACTTCTGAAACCTTAAATTCAATATTACTGATAGCATATGAAATAAACTTTTTGATAATCAATTAAATAAAAGCATACATTAAAATATAATAAAGTATAGAAACACTTACTAGTATATAATTTAACATTTAATAATTGAAAAAGTATAAATGATAAATTTAAAAGCAACCTTTTGACAAACAAAAATACTCAACACACTATATATAAATAGAAATGTGTACAAAACATATCATTACCTGTAATTCATACGCGAGATAGACATAGGAATGGGAGGCAAACGGATAAAAAGTTTTGACAAAAATTTCTTAACTTTGAGAGACTTGGAGAGAATATTGCGAGCAAACCGTGGACTCAATACTTATGGAGAGACTTCCTATTTGTAAAGTCATATGTTTTTGGTACTGACTTATTGAAAATGTGAAAAACATATTGTTTTAAACAACAAAAAAAAATGTATTATATTATATAAGTTATGGGTTTTTATGTTCATTATCTATAATGTATTAGTGAATGAATAATACGATATGGAAAGGTATGCGAGATTTTCAATACTAGTATAACATTGGGCTGTTTATAAAACACAAATAGTTTTATGTATTGAATTATGCTAAAAATCGTATTGTTAAAATCTTAGCTACTATTAATTAAGTATTGTTAAAATTAAAAATATATTTGTTTAAGGAATTAGTGTGAAGTGTTTACTACACTTCAAATAAACAACTTTAACATCTGTGTTGTTTTTTAAATAGCCTCTGTCATTTTTGAGTTTTTTGTATACAATTATCAATTAATAAGTATACGTCAAAAAAGTTAACGTAAAACAATGTGAGATATAATTAGTATAGTATAAACTTAACAAGTAAATAATATTAAAATAAATTAGTTATCTAAAGCTATTCTCTAATTATAAATTGTAGTTTATTATAATACAGTACTAAAAGTTTAATAAAAATGAAAATTAAGAATTTTAGTTAAAAAGTAAAATTAGAAACATTTATTAAAAATCAAACAACAATTTATAATAAAAATAGTTTTTAAGTTATAATAAATTAATAAATACTAACTTTTAAATTAGTAAAATTTCTAAGTACAATATTTAAAAAGAAATGTATTAATAATTAAAAATACTTACAACACATTTAGTAATAAAACCAATACTTCTGAAACCTTAAATTCAATGTTACTGATAGCATACGAAATAAACTTTTTGATAATCAATTAAATAAAAGCACACATTAAAATATAATAAAGTATAGAAACACTTACTAGTATATAATTTAACATTTAATAATTGAAAAAGTATAAATGATAAATTTAAAAGCAACCTTTTGACAAACAAAAATACTCAACACACTTTATATATAAATAGAAATGTGTACAAAACATATCATTACCTGTAATTCATACGCGAGATAGACATAGGAATGGGAGGCAAACGGATAAAAAGTTTTTGACAAAAATTTCTTAACTTTGAGAGACTTGGAGAGAATATTGCGAGCAAACCGTGGACTCAATACTTATGGAGAGACTTCCTATTTGTAAAGTCATATGTTTTTGGTACTGACTTATTGAAAATGTGAAAAACATATTGTTTTAAACAACAAAAAATCGTAAAACAAATAAATATCTGATGGGAAGACTGTGGGTTTGAAGGCTGACTGACTGATGGACTGATAGTAGTGTTTGCGACTAAACATAGGCACAGGAGTGAAAGGCTGTGGACTCGGCGTAGAGCTTATAATACATGCGAATATGAGCTCATATTTTGATATAAAACTCAATAATACATATATTTGGGTGTGTCTTAAATGGTTACCAATAGATCCATTCACTCGGATTCCCGGCTAACCTTTCCCTGTGTATGTATGCCTACCTATCTCTCTGCTAAATAGTCATACAGTGTTCTCTCTCTCTCTCTCTCTCTCTCTCTCTCTCCAAAATTGATAAATTGATTCACAATTCATGCCCAGAGATGGGCACCGGGAGAGAGAGACAGATACTCTTCCGGATAATTGGGGGGTTGGGGTCTAAAACAAATATGAAATTTAATACACACACAAAATACCTGTATAGTCATATCATAGTTAGAGTAAACTAACGATAAGTTTATTTCCTTAACATAAAGTAAATTACAAAACTTTTTGCGATATAATGTTCTAACAGTTATCATGTGTTCAACTTGAGGTAGGCTTCAGTTTACTTGACAACATCGCATAACTACAGTCCCCCTACTGTCCTTCATTGGCATACTATGTATAACTATGAATATATATTCGTACGACTGTCCGGTTGAATGTTAGGCAAAATATACAGTCGTCAAACAAAACAAAAAAGCAGTTTTAATTCCGCCGATTGGTTTAATTCAATGATAAAACAGTAATGCATTTTTTATGCACACGTAGATGTGGTGGTGGTTGAGGTGGTGGTGCGCTTGGCATTGGTATATATACCTGTGTATATCCATATATGCAAAGCCCAGCCCAATGTTAGGCATGGAATACATGAATATTGATGTATAATAATAGTTAGAAGCGATCTCTCTATGCGCTCACGTAATCAAAACTGAGAGTTAATTATATCCAATAGATTTTCTGTGTGTGTGTTAGCCATAGACTCGGGGCCAAAATGTCATGAAT